TAAACTGCTGATTAAACATCGTTTGCTACTGAGTGCCTGCCCTTCCATTGGAAGTCCGTTAACATCTCTCGGCTTTATAGGGATGGAAGTTGAGCGTCTGTGGATAAATAGAAGCCAGTCAGCATTACTTCCGTCTGTTGAAAAATCTTTGAGAAAACCAATAAAGAGGCGTTTATGCAGTTGCATGAGCAACATCACCATCTCTCCGATGTCCAACACGGCTTTCGAAGTGGTAGATCCAGTCTCGCGAATCTGATCTTTTCACTCGGACGCTGAAGCAAAACGGTGAACGCCATCCCACCGACTTCAAAAAGCCTTTAACCGCGTTCCTCATCAAAGTCTCTTGCACAAACTGCGCACCGTAGGAGTCCGTGAAAGCCTCCTTGTCTGGACCGAGATTTTTTGACTGGATGGCTCAAAAAGCACAGGTCGGGCGCCAGCAGTCCGTAGGTGTAAACATGATGAGCGGCGTCACACATAGCTCAGTCTTCGGCCCTTCGTTATTCCTTGTCTTCATCAATGACTGCGTCAGGCACCTAGACTGTAGTGTTATTTTGTTTGCCGATGACATGGAACAATGCTGTGACAAAAAGCAAACGTTTATCGTCTTTCGATTAACGGACAGTTGTTTACTTTCGCATGTAGGCAATCTCTTTTTCCATTAACTTTCCAGTTATCGGTGCTTTTCATTAAATGATTTGTAATCAATAGGGTTTTCAAGGCGTTCGCTTTTGCTCCCCTTAATAAAACTCAACTGTAATATACTGACAAAAAATCTGATGTTTTGTCTTATTCATCTTCTTTATTTGAACTGCCTCCTATTACTGCCTGTTGCTCGAATCGGTGTTGATTTAAACGCCACCCTTCAGGTATAGACCCATTTCATTTAGTTCAACAAAACTCAAAATCAGACCGTGTAACATAACAGACCAATTATAAAGGTTTCAAAGGCAAAGCAGGATCTATGAATGGTAGAAGCAGTCGCGAACGACGAACATCGACGAAATAGGGATGACTGAAACAACAGATTTTTTCCAGCGAACTGTGAAAGCGGCTTTCAACTACTTTAAGTAATATTCCCATCCCTCTCATCTTCTCCAAACTCAACTAGTGGCTGACGTCTAACATAACAGACCAATTTTAAAGGTTTCAAAGGCCAAGCAGAATCCATGAATGGTAGAAGCAGTCGCGAACGACGAACATCGACGGAATAGGGATGACTGAAACAACAGATTTTTTCCAACGAACTGGGAAAGTCTTTGAGTGTGCTATTCCCCCACCTTAAAATCATTTATCCTACCCAAGTAAGTTTCCAGAGGTCTTGTATTGACGTCAACACCAGCGACCGTTGCAAAATCGTTTCTTTGTGCAGAGAATGCTTGCGGACGCGCAGCAGCGACCGTTGTTTTTCTGACGCTGTGGAACCGTGAAAGATGCAGTTTGGGCAATCATTGGGGCCGTGCTGGTTTTGAGTGCGTTAGATTTTCGTAGTGGTGGGTAAATGCGATGAGACGTCGATCTTGCTATCTCTTTTCGCCCCCAGGATCAAGTTCATGGTCCGATCTTGTCGGACGCATGCATGACCACGTGCGCAGGCAACAATCTACTGCAGTTTGAATTTCACGCTTCTAATAAGCCCTCTTTACTCTCCGTCATGTTCAAAGGTTTCAGTTAAAACGAATATCGAGGCAGTGCTTGGGAAAGAGAATAGAAATTTACTAAAAAATGTTTGTTTTATTAGTAGGAAGTGAAAGCATTACTTCTCGACAAGTACAGATAGCATATTCGAAAATTTTGCAATCAAAATAGTTTAAAATGCTCCAGGCTAGAGAAAGGATAGCATAAAATGATTTTGGGCTTCGTGCTGCGTCAAGTTTTCGCTCGCCTCTTCTTTGAAATATTCAGAAAACTGTACATTGTCGCTGTGGATTGGTGAAGTAATCGAAACCCTTTGTGGGGATTGAAAACAGTCCTTTGAGGAGTTGATGCACGAGGCCACACAGGCGACACTCCGTCCTCGTGGATTGCTACAACCGGGATATATATATATATATATATCTCAGCTGGCAGTTGTCTCAGACACTCTTCATGCATCTGCTAATCTGCATGTAATAATTACTATCCCGAACGTATTTAGAATAGATATCTGCCCTTTTTCGCACGTTACAGTGCACTGTTGCCGGAATAGTCACGACTGACATTAGTTTTTTTTCAGAACCAAGCATACTACTTAAACCGGCAAACATGCCTGAGGGTAAAGCGGACACAGATGAGTGTAGAACGCAGTCGATTGTCAATATCGCCTTTGAACAATGTACCAAGGTAATTTGAGTGTTTCAATCGAGATCTCACTACAGAATAAATCGGGGGATACGAGAGCACGTTGACCATGTCCGCCGGTTATTGGAGGCCAGGTTAGTAGGACACAGAATAGGAACACACCAGCCCCGTAATTCAGGTGACACTGTGGTGGAATCCATAGAGGTAGGGGTTTAACCCAAGAGTTATGTTTGGGGTCAGAGTAAGGGCTAGAGTCCTGGTTAAGGTTAGAGCTAAGATAAGACTTTCAGTTTAGGAGTTGGCTTTGGGATAGGGATGAAGGCTTGCGATAGGCTTAGGACACCGTTATGGGCATACTTCTTGGGGGCAGGGGGGTGTACGTAGTCCGGTCTCGAACCACGACATTCACCCCCATAAGTAATGCGTGTCGTGTTTGGGTGTTAATTCGTGCTGAGATATGCCCTGGACTGGGGAATCGGTCACGTGGGGAGGGTGCGGGCGAGCAGTTATCCCGGTGACAGTGAGCCGATTTGCCGAGCAATAATCCCACCAGCATCCAGCACAGATGACCAAATCACGGCGATTTACGATTCGGACGCGGACCGACAAGCCATCATCGCATCAGTTATGACCCCAGCGGTGTTAACGAGAGCTGGCACTTACAGTACGCATATGCCCACACGGCAGCCACGTGTTATAAAGACTGCACTCCTTATGCCACCATTACCCTTATCTGCGGCTATCTCTGACGATGTGTTCGAGTGAGAATCCGAAACGTCAGGCCAATAGATTTCCCCTTGTAGTGATCGCATCTTCGTTTTCTGAAGTGCTGGAGGACCCGTCTACGCGTGCCAAATGCACGAGAACGGCGTAACGAGCCGCTGCATACGCGCCTACGTGGCAAGCTTGCAACCTATTATAGTTTGAACTTAAAACTTAGACGACAGTGACTCCTGTCGGCAACATGCCCATCATTTGCGTAGGTTCCACTTAAAGTGGTCGCAAACGCAGTGTGTGGAAAAGAAAATGTAAATTTAAGTCGAGTTCTCGCTCGTATGCTTACTAACATATTTAGAATACTCTGCATTGTCTTCGTGGATTAGTGAAATAATCAACGACCTGTGTGGGCAATGAAGACAGTTCTTTGAGATGCTGATGTACAAATCCACACAGACGACAATCCGTCCTCCTGTAACGCTGCGATAGGCATATATACATATCAGGAAGCGGTTATGTGGTGGCGGTGGTGATGATGATGATGATGATGATGATGATGATGATGATGATGATGCTGATGGCGGTGGTGGTGATGATGATGATGACGATGATGATGATGATGACGATGATGATGATGATAGTGGTGGT